AGTTCAGTGGCGTTAAGAGGCTGGAGGGTTGGAGCAAACACAAAATGCTGCAATGAGGAAAGACTTTCTGAATAAAGTTCTTCCTGCTCACAATAATGATGATTATTATTAATACCAAATGAGATGTTTCAGATGTTAAAGCCTCAGATTCTTTAAATCCAAATTGTCTGAGAACTTATCACTGCTGAGAAAATATCAGCAATGAAACCTACAAAGAGAGACGGCGACGCCGTCACTCAACTCGGAAACACGCAGCACAAACAGCACAAACACGCAGCACAAACAGCACAAACAGCACAAACACGCAGCACAAACATTCACTGAAGTCCTTAAAACTTCAACAATCCTCCTGCCTTTTAGGTGACAGATTAGCAAACCCTGCTATGACTGTACACTAAAAAAAACTCTAATTTACAGTAAAATACCGGCTGCTGTGGTTGCTGGAATTTTACCCTGTAAATACGGAAACATTTTGAAAATCACAGCTTCCAGTATTTAACGGTAAATTAAGACGGGGGTTTTCACAGTATTGTGTCTGAACTTCACTCCACTGGGGCCTGCAGTGAACTTAACAACTTCTTCAGAGACATTTCAAACAATCAATCTGCACATCCAACCCAGAATCGATGCTCTGCCCAAACGTGACAAATGCAGAGAAAATGGCTGCAGTTCAACAACTAATGCATGAAAAATGGGAAGAAATTATAAATCAGTTGAGCTTCTTAAGAAAGTCCTGCCTGTCATTTCATCTGATCAGATCCGAATACTAAACTCATCATCAGCTGTTTTTACCCCAGGCTTTAAAAACAGCTGTTATTAAAATATAACAATCTGCACAGTCAGAACTACAGGCTGACCTCTGACCTCACATTCATCTCTCAAGTTATTGAAAAAGCTGCGTTTGTTTTAACACTTAGTTTCTGAATGACGGCATATTTCAGTCTGGTTTCCTTGGTTACAGCAATACTCAGCTGGCCTAGTCAAAGTCTTTGGTGGGTTCCATTTAAAGACAGACTGGATGAACCACAGCGCTGGTTCTGCTGGACATCAGTATTGATCATCACATATTTCTGAATATGTCATGGTTGGAGAGTTGGGTCAGACTCTCCAGTCCAGAACTCAACTGGTTCAGAACTCAACTGGTTCAGATCTCAACTGGTTCAGAACTCAACTGGTTCAGAACTCAACTGGTTCAGATCTCAACTGGTTCAGAACTCAACTGGTTCAGAACTCAACTGGTTCAGATCTCAACTGGTTCAGAACTCAACTGGTTCAGAACTCAACTGGTTCAGATCTCATAAAGATCTGGGATTTCTTTATTTCTATAGAAACATCACATGAGCTCAGATTATAACGATAAAATCATCCACCAAGCGACATAGACGACACACACCAGGTGACTCAGAATCCATCCAAGTACTGACCAGAACCAGAAACCAGGCCTGATGTCTGGGTGATGGACTCGGACCAGAACCTTCAGACACATAAAGACAGTTATAAATTTGGCCTTCTGTCACCTGGAGAACATTTCAGGTGACATCAGAATATCTGTCTGATGTCCCAGTGAGATCTGGAGGAGCTCAGTGGCTTTTCAATCAGTCGCCTCCATTTCATTTCTGTTTTTTAGTAAGACGAAGCTTTTTATACACCCAGCACTGAAAGGAGAACCGGGCCTAAAACGGATGCGTTCAGACCAACGGTTTAATGACCTGCAGATATTTAAAGAAAGGAAATAAAATATTCCAATAACTAACTGACCTTTTAAGGTGAAGCTACAATAAACCCCAACATGTAGAGCAAACTGTCTGTCCTGAGTTTCATCAGTAATTAACAGTCTGGATTCTCCGTGACCAATCACATCCGGGTCATGTTCTAAATACTGAAGTAATGGAGCATGTTGTAGAACTCACTTTATGATTTCTGTGACAGAACAACTATTTTAATCAAGTTCATGTTCAGTTTTGCTCCGTTTCCTCATGCTGGTTATTGATTAGTGATTATCTGGCAGGAAGGTTGAGAATGGATTGATCCTGTCAGAAAGAAGATTAGAGTCAGAATCTGCATTTGCAAACCAAAACTTCCTGCTGCTGTTTTTTGTCGTTTTTGAGAGACTTTGAATCTAATGAAGTGATTCCTGATGTTCAGGTAAACCTCATGACAGCGGAGATCAGAATCTCCTGCTGTGATGCTTTTCAACCTGCATAAATGACAAATATGCAAAATTAAACAGGAAGTTCAGTTTTACTGTAAAGTTAAACTTCTTCATTTAGGCATCGCATTAAAGGAAACGCTGTTGGTTTGCTGAGACGAAGCGATAAAGTCTCGTCCCTCCCTGACCTGCTGCTTCACAAGCTGCACTTTAAACTCTGGTTATTAATTTATTCATAATTTCTATTTCATAACTCACTGGTACTTTTTTGGAAGCAGAATGAAACTCAGATCTTTATCATATTCTTCATTTAATAAGGGAATAACCCATACTGTGATTTTATCAAATGTAAAAATTCAGATGACATCATGAACAAGAGATCAGATAGAAACTGATCAACAAGGTCCTCGTTGTTTCAGAAACTAACCGAGAAACATCCAGAGCTGAACCGTCCTGACCCGTCCTGACCCGTCCTGACCCGTACCGACCCACAGTACTGTAATATTTACTCTTATTTACTTCCTTTATTTAACCTCGAAACCCCGTTGAGATCTAGATCTCATTTTCAAGAGGGACCTGGCAGGAAGTCTGCATCACACAGCAACCTGGTTACAAAATAAAACACAAGTCATTGACATAATGTTACTGTCAGTTCTGGAGCTGCCCAACACCAAGTTACTGAAATAATTATAATGTATTCATAGCAAATGATTGATGATGCTGTTTTTGTTTTCTTTTATCGTTATTTCTTTCTCTTCTCCACAGTTTAGAACGTCTCCAGTCCTAACACCGTGTTTGTTTTTCATCGTTTCTATAGAGTTATAGTGTAAGTTCACGTTCTGTGAAACTCATGCCGCTGTCAGTCCCTGGAGCGCCGCAAGTTGAAGGCGTTTCAGGGCAAAGTGTTGCTTCACTGCCTCAGAAAAGGTTCCTGTTTTTTATGGTTCTTCTTTTCCTGCTTGGTTTTTGTTGACTCAACTCTCAGCTTATTCTCAGAACCGTATAAAGCATCGTGGCAGCGCCGGCTGCCTCGTCTCACACATCATGATTCAGCAAACAAAAGCAGAAAAGCAGAGATGTTCTTTATTTCCTGAACCAAATCAAGGAGACATGATGATCCTTCACCATCAGGCTGCAGACGCTGGGCCCCGTCTGGATGGGCCCCGTCTGGATGGGCCCCGTCTGGATGGGCCCCGTCTGGATGGGCCCCGTCTGGATGGGCCCCGTCTGGATGGGCCCAGACTGGATGGGCCCCGTCTGGATGGGCCCCGTCTGGATGGGCCCAGCGTGTTTGTATGATGTGAACTGCTTATAAAAAGAGTCTGAGTTCATACTTTGGTGATTCCTTCTACAAGTCGTCTGATAGGTGGATATGAACACAGATCTACAGTCGTAGAGTTTTCTAAGGAATATTCTCACATCGGCGTTTTATGAACAAAGCAGGAAAATGAAATAAAACGTTAAGCTTGTAGCTTCAGGTAAAATGATAAAAACAAAACATAATAAAAATATTATATTCAATTCAATTTATTTCTCTGTCGCCGTTTTACAAGAAGTATCATGTTCAGTTCAATCCAGATGTTATCAAACATTTAAGCTCAGTTTATTTTAAAAAGTTTTCTGCCTGAGGAGACTCGGCTTCGAGTCGGTGGTTCCTGAAACGATGTAGCGAGAAAAACCACTAACTAGAAAAACCACTAACTAAAGAATAGACGGTAAACTTTCGGCAGAGTTACAGCATAAGAACAAGCAGATATTAAAATCTGCGTACTAAAATAAGAAATGTGACGACTGCACTGGTTGGTTGTGCATAAAAACTGAAAGTCTAGCAGCTGCTGGGAGGAAGCATCTGTGATGACGCCCCTTTGTCCACTGTTTGTTATTGCGCAATAGCCAGCCCCGCCCTAAACCTCACAACTCCTTTGGGCTGACTACTGACCAGCTCTCTGTCTAACGGGTCCAGAAAGTTCCTAAAACCTGGGTATTACCCTGCAGAAGGTCTGAGAGGAACGATCTGTCTCAGCTGGTGTCGAGAGAGACTCGTCCAGCTCTAACTACACTGAAAAAAATAAGTCATTGGATGAACATAAAAAAATTATGGAAAGGATTTCCACCTGATTACTTTGCTTTATTTCAGCACCATGTACTTGTGTTACTCCTATTTAAAGCAAATGTGTTAGGTCAACCTAATTTATTAAGATTATTCCAATGTAAAGCAAATGTGTTGGCTCAACTTGTTACAATGGTGATTCAATGGGTGATTCTAAATCAAACATGTTGGCTCAACGTAATATATTGTGGTTATTCTTATATAAATAAAATGAGTTGGCAAAACATAATTCATTAAGGTTGTTCTAATTTAAACCAAATGTGTTGGCTTAACCAGAATTATGGTAATGCAATGGATGATTGTAAATCAAATGAGTTGGCTCTACTCCATTCATTAAGGTTATTCAAATTCAAATGAAATGTGTTGGCTCAACATATTTTTAAAGGTTCCTTTAACTCAGTTACTATAGCGTGACCCAGTGTAATGCAATACAGCCAGCCCAACTGATCTGCAATGTTTAGGACCAAATCATTGATGTAACTTCATTAAGATGAATGTAAATCTAGTTGAAACCACCTTATTTTACAGTGGTACCTTCACACTACCTGATTCAGTAGGTCCAACTCACTAAAAGCAAGTTAGCTCAACAAATATGCTTCATGCTAAAAGACAGCTAGTTAATCGTGTGAAAATCCTTTCCATTATTTCATGACGTTAATTCAAAGACATATTTTCAAGCGTTAATCAAGCATTTTAAGATAGCACTAGGTGAAAGTGTATTAAGAACACTCAACAATTAGAAAAGGTACAACACAATTGTATTTTCAGAATTATTATACATCGTTTTTTTACACAGCACAAAACACAGCCGAGTTGGACATTGAAATAAAAAACAACTACAAAAAGGTTACAGTTTCATTTCCCAGCCAATTCTTTACAACATAAAACATGTCAGTATAGTTGCTCAACTTAAGAGAACTGTAACAATATAAATCTTTTCTACTGCAGTCTTTAAACACTCATTTTCCATATGAAACTTTACTCAACTTAGCAGCGAGTTTCATATTGAGAACTTGTGCTTTCTTTGATAAGTTCTTTCCATCCAATTTCATTATTATTTTCTGTATTACTTCAAAGGTATGCTTGAGTTACTGAGCAAGTTGAGTGCTGAACGCACTAAACTTGAGGGTAGCTCAAGTTTAGTGCGTAGATTAGTCCCAGCAGCATCACTATTGCAGAAGATACACTGCCCAAGCTGTTCATAACTTCCACCTCCTCCAGGACAATCCCAACATCCAGATGTGCATCGGCAGCCTCTGCACCCTCTGCTCAAATGACGATTCCGAGGACAGTCTCGGCTTTGGCCATTTCTGCACATTCATCAACGTCCTAAGGGAGTTAGGGAAGGGTATTGGGGGGAGACAATTCACATGTAATTAAATAAATAAATTAGACTGACATTGATTGAGTCACTCATGGACCTTAGTTGGTGAAAGTATTTTAACAACTCTTAGGAGTTCTATTGTAAACACAAAGAGAATTTAACATACCATGTACTCCCTCACCAGCTTCTCTGGATCTTCATTTAGGTACACACAGACCTTTGAGGATGCACTCTCATCTGCCCTCAGCAGTGTCATCCTAAATATGCAGATCAAAAAACAATGAGAACAATCTCAAAACTCCAGCAGTATAGGTTCACACACTTCAAAACATAGCTGCATTCAAAGGAAGTCACAACAAAAGTGATCAGTGACTTGCAGTCTGTTTGAAAGATATTTAAAATTGTTAGTATCCCTTCATTATGCCATGACTAAAATTGAGTTTAACATCTCATTTAAACATCTAACTGAAGCTGTTGGATGTTTAAAAAAGACATGAATATATCACCAAAGAAATATGTGAAAAGTACAGAATGGTCAACACAGTCTATATCCTTCTACTTAAATGAATATGCAAAGCATTCCATGTCTTACAAGTACATGGACAGTCTATGTGTGGGCATGGATAACGTCGCATATGCCGGTGTTTAAGTGTAAAATGTTTTAACAGGTCATATCTACGAGACAGAGAGCGACTACACTCCTTACATTTCCACATCCCCACACAAATAAAGACAAATAAAACAGACTGGCCAAATAAATGTTTAGCTGAACCCTAGCTTTATAAGCTCTCTAACACTACATTCAGTCACTTTAGATCTGGCAAAACTTACTATTAGCCACTGAAATCTAGAACTTGATAGCCGATGAGCCCCTTGACCAGAACTTACGCAGGTGGATTCCAGACAGGTGATGTTCTGAAAGAGATCAGATATATTTTCAGCCATTAAAATATGCAATTCATACTGAACTGAGTTTTATCTTTTAGTACAAGTCCCTTGAATGCCTCATGAATATGACCACTGGACACTTGTATGCAAGCACATATGTGCAGAACAATGGTGAATTGAACATGGTAGAAAGCAATAGTAACAAAGGTCAAAATGAGCACATACAATGAACACAAAAAAACATCAACATTTCAAAATTAAACCAATGAACTTCAATATTGTTTCTGATCTACAATTATTTGGGGACAACAAAGAAGAGTCCAAAAAAACCCAACATCTTTACAGCAGAGGAATATGTATTTTAAAGAAAAAAAATAGAAAGCTCAAGTCTGTAATAATGGATAATCCATTGAGAGTTTTAGCCTGACAAAATATACTAGAAATCCATAACTAACAGGTATTTAAGGAACATTTAACAAAGCTCAGAAAGCAATGCTTTCTGCAGGTTTCACCGACTGAAATGTAGGACTTTTTATTACCATAATTAATTAAGAATCTCGATGATGATAGAAAGGTACCAAAGTGTGTGTGTGTATCTACATTTACCTTGAATCACGCGAGATAACTGGCTTGCACCTTGTTGGGTTTTTTCAAGGGCAGAGGGGAGATTCCTGGCGTGCATCTACTTAATTTGAAGAAGGTAAGAGTCAAACTATTTTCATCTAAATCCATATAAAAATATGTAACTTAAAATTTCTCTACCATTTGCACCATTTTCTACTTGTTCCATACTTGTGTCACATTATTTCATGTTCTGTAGATTAAGTCGGTTAGGTTAAGGCAGATAGCTTTTTGTCTACATTTATCGCCGCACCATGTTAGGTACATTCTGTGCGAAAAAAGTCTGCAGAGCCATATGTAGTGTAAGGGTCACAAAGCTGCTGCCAGAGACACAAATGGACCCCAGAAATGTCACAGTTTTGCTCCTCCTGAGCTCCCTGGAGGTTTAGTGGATTTTTAACACACGGATCTGGCATCAGTCTATTTCTAACTATTTTAATTCTATTTCAGTAATGTTACTATGGAGGTAAATGTAGATACACACACTTTGGTACCTTTCTATCATCATCGAGATTCTTAATTAATTATGGTAATAAAAAGTCCTACATTTCAGTCGGTGAAACCTGCAGAAAGCATTGCTTTCTGAGCTTTGTTAAATGTTCCTAAAATACCTGTTAGTTATGGATTTCTAGTATATTTTGTCAGGCTAAAACTCTCAATGGATTATCCATTATTACAGACTTGAGCTTTCTATTTTTTTTCTTTAAAATACATATTCCTCTGCTGTAAAAATGTTGGGGTTTTTTGGACTCTTCTTTGTTGTCCCCAAATAATTGTAGCTCAGAAACAATATTGAAGTTCATTGGTTTAATTTTGAAATGTTGATGTTTTTTGTGTTGATTGTATGTGCTCATTTTGACCTATGTTACTATTGCTTTCTACCATGTTCAATTCACCATTGTTCTGCACACATGTGCTTGCATACAAATGTCCAGTGGTTATATTCATGAGGCATTCAAGGGACTTGTACTAAAATACAACTCAGTTCAGTATGAATTGCATATTTTAATGGCTGAAAATATATCTGATCTCTTTCAGAACATCACCTGATCACCTGTCTGGAATCCACCTGCTTAAGTTCTGGTCAAGGGGTCATCGGCTATCAAGTTCTAGATTTCAGTGGCTAATAGTAAGTTTTGCCAGATCTAAAGTGACTGAATGTAGTGTTAGAGAGCTTATAAAGCTAGGGTTCAGCTAAACATTTATTTGGCCAGTCTGTTTTATTTGTCTTTATTTGTGTGGGGATGTGGAAATGTAAGGAGTGTAGTCGCTCTCTGTCTCGTAGATATGACCTGTTAAAACATTTTACACTTAAACACCGGCATATGCGACGTTATCCATGCCCACACATAGACTGTCCATGTACTTGTAAGACATGGAATGCTTTGCATATTCATTTAAGTAGAAGGATATAGACTGTGTTGACCATTCTGTACTTTTCACATATTTCTTTGGTGATATATTCATGTCTTTATTTAAACATCTAACAGCTTCAGTTAGATGTTTAAATAAAATGTTAAACTCCATTTTAGTCATGGCATAATGAAGGGATACTAACAATTTTAAATATCTTTCAAACAGACTGCAAGCCACTGATCACTTTTGTTGTGACTTCCTTTGAATGCAGCTATGTTTTCAAGTGTGTGAACCTATACTGCTGGAGTTTTGAGATTGTTCTCTGTTTTTTGATCTGCATATTTAGGAAGACACTGCTGAGGGCAGATGAGAGTGCATCCTCAAAGGTCTGTGTGTACCTAAATGAAGATCCAGAGAAGCTGGTGAGGGAGTACATGGTATGTTAAATTCTCTTTGTGTTTACAATAGAACTCCTAAGAGTTGTTAAAATACTTTCACCAACTAAGGTCCATGAGTGACTCAATCAATGTCAGTCTAATTTATTTATTTAATTACATGTGAATTGTCTCTCCCCCAATACCCTTCCCTAACTCCCTTAGGACGTCGATGAATGTGCAGAAATGGCCAAAGCCGAGACTGTCCTCGGAATCGTCATTTGAGCAGAGGGTGCAGAGGCTGCCGATGCACATCTGGATGTTGGGATTGTCCTGGAGGAGGTGGAAGTTATGAACAGCTTGGGCAGTGTATCTTCTGCAATAGTGATGCTGCTGGGACTAATCTACGCACTAAACTTGAGCTACCCTCAAGTTTAGTGCGTTCAGCACTCAACTTGCTCAGTAACTCAAGCATACCTTTGAAGTAATACAGAAAATAATAATGAAATTGGATGGAAAGAACTTATCAAAGAAAGCACAAGTTCTCAATATGAAACTCGCTGCTAAGTTGAGTAAAGTTTCATATGGAAAATCAGTGTTTAAAGACTGCAGTAGAAAAGATTTATATTGTTACAGTTCTCTAAGTTGAGCAACTATACTGACATGTTTTATGTTGTAAAGAATTGGCTGGGAAATGAAACTGTAACCTTTTTGTAGTTGTTTTTTTATTTCAATGTCCAACTCAGCTGTGTTTTGTGCTGTGTAAAAAAACGACGTATAATAATTCTGAAAATACAATTGTGTTGTACCTTTTCTAATTGTTGAGTGTTCTTAATACACTTTCACCTAGTGCTATCTTAAAATGCTTGATTAACGCTTGAAAATATGTCTTTGAATTAACGTCATGAAATAATGGAAAGGATTTCCACATGATTAATTAGCTGTCTTTTAGCATGAAGCATATTTGTTGAGCTAACTTACTTTTAGTGAGTTGGACCTACTGAATCAGGTAGTGTGAAGGTACCACTGTAAAATAAGGTGGTTTCAACTAGATTTACATTCATCTTAATGAAGTTACATCAATGATTTGGTCCTAAACATTGCAGATTAGTTGGGCGGGCTGTATTGCATTACACTGGGTCACACTATAGTAACTGAGTTAAAGGAACCTTTAAAAAATATGTTGAGCCAACACATTTCATTTGAATTTGAATAACCTTAATGAATGGAGTTGAGCCAACTCATTTGATTTACAATCATCCATTGCATTACCATAATTCTGGTTAAGCCAACATATTTGGTTTAAATTAGAACAACCTTAATGAATTATGTTTTGCCAACTCATTTTATTTATATAAGAATAACCACAATATATTACGTTGAGCCAACATGTTTGATTTAGAATCACCCATTGAATCACCATTGTAACAAGTTGAGCCAACACATTTGCTTTACATTGGAATAATCTTAATAAATTAGGTTGACCTAACACATTTGCTTTAAATAGGAGTAACACAAGTACATGGTGCTGAAATAAAGCAAAGTAATCAGGTGGAAATCCTTTCCATAATTTTTTTATGTTCATCCAATGACTTATTTTTTTCAGTGCAGCGATGTCCTCTCAGCCTGCTGGTTCTTCTCACTTGCTGTGGACAAAAGACCCAGACTGTCTTTGCCTTTGCCTATTTATGTTCTGTCCTCCTGCTGTTGTGTGCGGGGAGCGAATTACATGGTTTCTCAAGTATGTAACCACTTTATACTAGGCTCTCTGTCCTTCCATATTTGGTCGTCCATTGCTCCCTACGTTATAGTTTCCTGGCTGTTTTCCCAGAACATTCTAACCAGGTCTTTCTGCTTGTTATCAGAACATGCCCAGGCTTGTCTCCTGTCCCATAGACTGTCCCTATTCCTCCTTTATTCTGATTTCAGTTTTCTATGTTTTACACAGAATCATGACTTTATCACATAACTTCATCAACACAATCATGATTAATACATTCCTTCAATCATTACTTCTTTTCACTTTGATTCGGCGTGATTATACATTCAATTGTGATTTCTTGTTTTTAACTGATTTATAAACAATCAACTTCAGATTTTACTTACTTCATAATCATTA